TGAGGTAGTACCGTTATCACAGAAATGAAGGTATTTCCGTGATGTTTTTATGAATTCGGAAATCTCAAAATAATTCGCTTTTTTATCAGCACTACGCTCGACACTACCATGCTAGTGATTAAAAAATTTTAACCGTATCTTTTCATGAATTGAAAAGAAAAGTGTAAAGTTTAGGCTCCAACGAGATTCGAACTCGTGACCTCCAGTTTACTAGACTGGCGCTCTAACCAACTGAGCTATGGAGCCATGCTGCATGTTGTTTTAAATTGTTCTTATGTACATTTGCTATTTGCATGATCATAATTGTTGAATTTCTTTTTCCTGATCTGCGAATTATGTTTCAAAACTACGATTGATTATGCACAAACATGTTAATTGAATTAACCCATTATTTCAGTATGTCACATCTCTTCATCAAAGAAAGATTCTGACTTTTATAACCAACCTTAGTCGGTCTTCAGAGAAATAATGGTTTTAGATGGTGCCATTTTCTTGGCGGTCAGGTTGACCCACTTGATTATAATAGTAGCGGGCTTGTTGTTAGTCCTAAACGACCGTTTCATGTTTTCAGGTCATTTATAGCTGAAAATTGCACCAAGGTCACGCCTAACATGGATCAGCGGTACTTTTTTGCCTTTGAAGGTGAAATATCGCTTTTCCCCTGCGAAGCCAGACATCTTACGCAGATGGGTTATAGCATGTTCTGCTAAAGTGGAGTTGTTTTTCGCATTTCACTTTGATAATCTTTGAATCGTTTGATCGTCTTCATCTTCTTCCCACTTGCTTGAGACGTCTCTTTCTCACACCAACGCTTTCCAATCTGATAGTTTCTTTCGTGCTCGGACTTTCTTTCCTCATGAATATTGCCCACATTTTCGATGTATACCGTACCAAACGAGCAGAAGATTCTTGAACACCGAATCTCACTTCTGTTCCTTTGGTCTTCAGGTGGCAGAGGCGACTGCGAAGCGCTGTAGCGGGCGCAATGTACCGACTGACGATTTTACATTTTGAGATAGATGGTTTCGATATAATCGTAAATGAAGGTATGGTAGAAAGATCTACATCATCTTATCACACGTTTTTAATCCGTGAGACAGTCCCTAAGCAGTCTCAAGCAAAAGTTTACTGAAATGTTTATTCAACCATAAATCTGCACAATATACAATGAAACACAGCGAAACAAAAAGCTTCGACTACTTCAAACCACTGTGAACTCAAGAGTGCTGGTAGATAACTCCGCACATACGTTGCACATTTGGTTTTTTTCGACTTCGATAGGATCGAAAACGGCAGCAGCGACTTTGAAATGTGTTAACTGGTCAGCGGTTCTCAAGCTAACCGAACCATGGTTCGGACTAAGTAACGTAAACCAGAATACCAGCGCGTTAACGAATCCGTCGCGAGTCACCGGTACGTTAAGTTTGGTCATCTGTCGTAGGAAGTGAGGCAGAGTCTCGCACGATGGGCTGAGTGAATCCTCCTCAAGGTCTATGGACATGATCTTGAATTCGGCACTGAACGCAGTGTATGAGAGGGTGGTAAATTCGATGTCTTCCTGAATCAATGTCCTGAAGTCATTCATCACTTTGCCGATCCCAAGGTCTGCCGTATTTTTGTCATCGACCACATGCGTGTAACCGGCCAACTCGTGACTTTCCACCAAAAGTCCGTATACTTCGATTGAATTTGGGATCACGTGGGCGATGTTCAGCACGGTACGGAAATAAGCCACATGTTCGAGGATTTTTGACTGCAACAGCCCCGTCGATTCGATTGGGCAACAAACCAGAAGATCGAGATCTTTGTGTTCCTCTATCTTTTTGTCTAAAATATCTAAAGTGATGCGCTCCACTGTTGCTGTATCGCTTTCGTTGGCGATCACTCGCCACACTGCCTGGCTCGGTGGTTCCAGACGAGCAACGACAGGAATCTGCAAAACGGAAGAGGTGAGAAACGAAATCAGCGGATTGTTGGAAATGTCCAATGCCGCTCGGAACATGGTTCCCTGTTTGCTGCGCTCAAAAAACAATCGATACGTGTTCGTGAGGATGTCGTCATTTAACATCGCGATCAGCCAGGTATCGTTAGCAGTCAGAGGCTTGAACACGCGACAGGCACCTGAGGAGTCCAGTGGCTGCTGCTCTTCTTGAGGACTGCACTGAAACCAACTCCCCTTAATCGTGACGTCCAGCGGAACTTTTTCACCTACACATAGTTTCCGTTCGTTTAACACGGGGAATACGGCCTGCTCCCAGGAACTGTCAGAGTCATAAGACGAGCAGACTTGCGCACTACAACCGTCGGCGAGCAGTGCTGTGAACCAGCAAACGATAGCGTCAAGACGACCGCTATTAATTACCTCAAAATTCACCTCGCGGCTTACACCTTGCACTACTCTAGCCTCCAGATCAGAAATGTCCTCGAGATCCACTTCGTCGATCAAGGTCGCAACAGACAACACCCGAAAGCCGTGTTTTAACTTGCATAGCATCTCTGCGGTATACGGCTCTTCGTCGAGGCTGTGTTCTGCGGTAGAGAAAGAAACGAATGGTGAGGTAATAGTGGTCTTCAGGCTAACTGAATCAAAGAAGGTTTTTGGTTTCAGAACATGGCATGTTCTGATGTGAGGGGCTTCGATCAATATCGCCCAGATCTTTGCTCGGCAAGGAATTATTCGTCCTGACGGTTTCAGTAAACGCCTCTTTGCGTCAAGCAACGTCGGTGCGATCGACTCACCATAAAAGCCGGCGTCCATCAATTCAGTCACAACCAAATCCACCTGTTGATCGATATCTTCATCCAGCTTTAGAAACATGGAATTTTTCTCAATGATATGGATTCGATCCGCCGCCTCCTTGCCATTCAACGCTACGATCTTTCTTGCCATTTGACACATCATTAACGAATGATCGCACCCACAGACCTTGTGCGCGCCGGCCTTAACCGCCAGTAGGCTCAGTATCCCGGACCCACAACCGATGTCCAGTACCACTGCATCGATCGGCATGGCAGCCAAACGGTGCTCCAGTGCTGTTTTATAAGCCAGGTTGCGTTGACAGTCATTTAGCATACGAAAATGCCACTGGTCAACGAAATAACCACGCAAATTCATCAGGCACTCCTTCAAGGAAGGATATGAAGAGTCGATGCTCAAAGCCTTCATGAAACACAGCGCCGCCTCTTCGTACAGACCGTAACGAAATAACGAGTTGGCCAGAAACGTCGTAAACAGAACAGAGTCCGGGTACAGCTCTGAGGCAGTGATCAAGTAGTCCATTGCGTCCTCGTGTCGCTTACGCATTTCCAGGACAGCGTAGAACTCTTTGAATACCTTCAAGAACTCGCGTTCCAGAGAGGCACGTTTCTCTGGACAGCATTTCAAAACGCCAAGGTAATGTCCGACGGCTGGACCATACAGACCCTTTTCTTTATAGCTTCGAGCACGAGCGATCGAAAACCGAGACATAACGGCGACAAAGACTCGTTGGTTTTGCCACCCTTTTTCCGGGGTTGAAACTCCTGAGATTAACCTGCAGTAAAAAATGTAGAAAACAACCAATAATTTGTGATTTGACGAAACGCACGCAAAGTAGAGAACAATTAACATATCAAACTTTAGCAAACAACGATTCAAAATAGCAACCACGGCATTCTAAGCAAGAATACGATATCATCTAGAGTTAAATGTGTTAAATCATCCGAATGATCATCCATGCATTATCTAATGTTGTTGATAACGTGTCCAATAATTGGACTGGAAGGGCAATAAGCTATCCATAAAATTCGTCTGAACAATTTATTGTTAATGCCATGCAAACTGTTGTTCTAACAAGCGACCAACAACGATGGTTTCACTGCGTGCAGTGAGGGATAAATGACAGGACCGCGTTAGCAGTGACCTTCTCACCTGCGCAGAGGCAACCTCAATAAATGTGAAAATCAAAGAAAATGAGGCTGACCCCGATAGAACAGTTAGTTAAGCATACGCCATTTAATCCAGCCTATGTGCTTCTCTATGGGAGCCAAAATATAGCAGACGCCAATCAGGAGAACAAAACGCAACATGGAGGAAGAAGGCATAAACAAATCAGTTTCTGGAAAGGCACTGGTACTTCTTACTACCAGACACTAACCTGTGCTTTATAGCTAAAGTATTGAAACGCTGCGAATACAGCGGACATCACAGACCAAAGACGCTTCGCTCATGTAAACAGCTCAAGATGACAGAAAATCACCAAACATAAACACTCTCGCTTCTGAGTTTACGGTAAGGCTATCACAGTGGCTGAGTAAAATACGGTCAGGCAAACATCCAGGTATGCGCGATCACGTATGTTGGTCAGGGTCGACTTCACACGATGTAAAGGCGAAGTCGCATTGAGACGAAACGTTTAGTAAACTAAACAGCTATAAATCTTTATTTTGTTGACTTCACAAATTTCATAATTAATAAAAATACACCAGGCCAAAGCGAAAGAATATCGTCACGTAGCAGACCTGAAAACGGCTTGAAGGATTTTCCCACTCCCAAGCTAGCACATAAACACCAATTTTATAATAGATTACCAATGACCATTAATGTGGAGAATGCATCTAAAAGTGTTTTTTTTCTCGCATACAGTTACCTCTCAGGATATATACGACATTAATTTAACCATTCTGCTGATTCTGGTGACTCGCTAAGCAGGTCAAGGATTCGTGGTATTGTTGTATCTGCAGTGCATGCATGCAACACAGTACCACTTGCTGGGTCCAACAAAAACATGTTTGTAAACCATCTATTTCACCAGTCAAGTGGTTAGGCTCTTTCTGCAGTCTAAAAAAGAGGGAAATATGGAAATGAAAAACTCCATTTTTCAACTTTTATCTCAATTACTTTCAGTGCAGAATAGAGACCCATTGTATATCAGTCAATCAATAAAATAATGAATCATCCACCGCTAAAATAGTCATTTGCTAATTATTTTTCAGCAGTCATGGCAATGACAAAAAACAGAAGGCAACAACGATAAACTTGAAAATATTTACGACTTTACTTGCTATCCTACTTTACACAATTACTAAAAATTTTAAAAAGGGATAATTTCAAAGGCAACTTCAATATACCAAAGCATCAATACAAATATCATCATCAGCTTTCGTCGACCTACTACTGAATAAAGAAATGTCCAAGACTTCGTCATACACCCGTGTCTTCTGCCATTTTCATCCATGCTGAATAAGAGGACTTCTTCAGTTTACCCTGCCACCGATCTGGAGGTTTTCCCAGTGACGGTTTACTCCTTCTGGGAACCGAGTCAAATATTTCTCTGGTCCAGCGATAGTCGACTCTTTTAGCAGCGTGCCCTACCCACTGCCACTTTAACTTCTTCACTCAGAAAATGACATCGTAGACTGTTGATTGTGCTCACACTGATTCCTTCCTATCAATTCCTATTATTCCCAAAATACATCTTCCCATATTGCATTGTGTAGTATGCAATATATGAACAGCTTTTAAGCACAAGGTCCATGGTTCGTACGCAAGGGCAAGCTCTGATCGAAACCCTTCAGTTTCAAGCACAAGAACAGTTTTCCGGATAGAAACATTTTCAGTATTTCAAAAGTGTTTTTCTCAGTTTCAATCTTCTGTTGATTTCAAACAAATGATTCTAATTTGCAGCAATAAGCTTTCCCACAGAGACGTTGCTTTTAAACTCATTTAAACTGCAAACTCTTTTAAGCCTAAGTACAGGTCGCATGCATGGTGACGTATTTCTTGAATGACCTAAATCATCTTGGTGTTTATTTTTACTGCTACTTTGATGCTGGCATCGTTTAGCTCTTCGATTCTTCTTTGGAGTTTTTGAGGAGATTTGGACAGCATCAGAAAATCGTCTGCAAACAGCCGGTGGTTCATAACCGTTTATTTTCAGTCCCTGATTTTCCAACGGAGTGTTCTGAAAACCCCTTATCGGGCTGTTGTGAATAACTTCAGTGTTATGGCCTCTTTCCGTTCAAATGTCCAGTTCGATTTTTAACTTATCTTTACTGCCGAAGCTTTACACTAGTTGCTGCATTCTTGTAAAGCATACCGATGAAGTCAATGTATCTTTTTCCGATTTTCCAACTCCTCAAGGAATAAAATACTGATCGAATGTTGGCTGAATCCGAAACCTCATCAAAATCGACTAACTCCAGAATGAGAGTAAACTGATATAACATAGTTCAAACTGTTTGTATGAACCATGTTATATCACTTACAGATTATTCATCGCACTAAATCTACTTCTGAATCCGATTTGCTCCTTTGACTAGAGAGAGTCCAGTTTCTCTTGAAATATGCGCAAAAAGATATCGTAGACTGGCCTGCAAATCTTGAAATTCCCTTTGTCTGTCATTTCGAGGAGTAGAATCCCCGATGCGATTATACACTCGTCTACAATCATCATTTCCTTCAGACAGAATGGCAAAAAGCCTGCCAATATTTTGATCAGTGCTACTAATTCTCCTCATGATCCTACGATTCCATTATAATACCGTCGTCACTTAGAACCCTTCCTGGCTTTGACTACTTTATTGCATGTAGTATTTCTTCTGACAAGATATGAAGAATTTCGTCACCTTCATTTATATCTTCAGTTTCTATATTGTCACCGTTGGTTTTCATCTTTGCACAGCTTTTCAATCCTTTCAGAATCTTCTGTCTGTCCCTGAGAGTTCTGTCTTCTGCTTTGAGTGTAAAAGTTTGTCGTCTCGCCATTGTAAATCTTTGATTTAATTTCTTCAATCTTCGATGGTTTTAAATTGTTTCCTTTCTAATTTGTGGCTGAATGCTCAGATGTCACATTCTGCGTGTTTTCAGAAAGTTTTGCAAACTTCCACGTATTCGATTTTTCATTTCTGATCTGTTACTGTCTTCATTTCATTTCGCTTCTTCATGAATATTTTCATTTGTTCGTGATTTTTTTGATCGACCTTTAATGAACTTGAACTTGTTCTGGAGATGTTTTCCGATATCTTTTAACTTCCGTATTTATATATTCTGATACACTGCATCAACATTCCAATGCCATACTCCTTTGCATTAATAATCGCATATTAATTATAATTTATATACAAGCTTTGAACAAAACTAACAGAAATAGACTTTAAAACGATAGATGTTCTGTGGTTCAGAGCCCTCAAACTCTGTAATAATGAATTTCTTAAAGATGAAATTAACTATATCAAATAGACTTTATGCAAAAACAATAATTATCCAGCTAAATTCGTTAATAATATCATAAACTGTATAATAAGCCACTTAGAAAAAAGTATTTGTAGCACTAACATGAATAACAATAAGCCTTACCCAATTTTACCGTATTATAATAACTTTAGTAAAAAATAATGAAGATTACTTACACTAAATATAACTAATGCTATATTTAAAAGCTCT